GTAGCCCGCGGGATCATTGCAGCACTCAAGTCCGACCACCACGTCAATGTGGCAGCTTTAGGTCGGGTTAGCCGTCATTTGGTGGCTTGTGGTTGACACGTTTCATACCGGATTAACCCGTTGTCCTTGATGTCATGTTGCTCAACCTCCACCTCCTCTGGATCATTTGTTTTTCAAATGCCCAACTAATATGCCACCAACTAATTGATATGGGCATAAAAAAGATTGCAGTAAATTGCTAAACTTGCGTTCATTAGCTATGTGCCTGGTTTTACTTTTTTTGAGTCTGTACAGCAGCTGAGAATTATCAGTCCATGATTATGATATAATTGTCTTCGGCAGCCAAAAGGCCTCCAATCTGCAGGTGAATAATCAGAACTGCCACTTTTGTCTCAGGTGATCAATGAATCATTCGTCCAAATATACTTTTAAGTCAGCTAGGACCACAGCGCAGTACATTTGGAAATGGGAGGCCAAAATATTGTCTGCATTCTGGACTTTGACGGAGGAAAATATGTCGGTGGTGAGACGAAATGCTTTCAGGTAATGTTGGTTTTTCTAAGCCTGTAAATATCTGGCCAACTTTGCATACTGCATTCTAAAACGTTGAAATTGCATGTTCCTCAGTTTTACGCCGTTATATACTGCATGAATCTAACTATGATCAGGATGATGTCTTAGTTTAAGCAATATGAGGAATAAACTAATTGACGGTAAAACGAGCAGCACTAATATACCTACAAAACATCCGAATTCAACAACTAGGCCGAAAGGGCTTAGATACAAATAACGTTGTGATAAAAATTCCTTTTGAGTAGAATCTATGTGGTTTAGTTATGCGTGAGACTAACCACCAAATGCATGCATTTTCAAAAAATAGATTCCTCCCACATCTTGAAAATAAACAGGTTGGGTGGCATTGATTTAACCTGCTGTTTCTCTATAATGCGTGGAGTTTTATTAACGGTCTTCTATGTTCTTTCATTTAACAACAACAGAACAACAGAATTGAGAAACATTAGAACAGACATTTTGAGACCCAAAAATAATGGGGTAAGCAGATACGGACGCGCCAATTCCCACATTACGGAAAACTTCTCCAAGGTGTCTTTTAACTAATGACACTATCATTGTAAAACTAGAGGGAAATTGTAGTCCAACCCTGTCCATAAAATGATTCTAGCGATTACTAGACCGGTCAAAATAGAGTCCTCCTTTTAGGAATTGTAAGGATGCAGTATATTAAATTTTACCGAGTCCTCCTACATGGCACGTTGTGTTACTGCTTTGTGTAATATCCTTATTTTCTAATCTTTCTAATCTTTTCAGAAAAGCGAAAATGCAACCTATGTACATTTCTTAGTAATCAGGACAGGGCTGTCAAATTCTTGAGACGAATCTTATTCACAATTATGGATGTTAAAATAAAGCAGTTTACCATTCAGCACACTGCACTTATTAAGAACTTCACTGAAACCGCAACTGCCTCTTATATTGTTCTGATTCATAATACACAATACACTACGGGATCGTTCTTAAAGTTACGGCCCATGCAACACACTAAACTATGTAAAAATTCGTCCTTTCCGTGATATAAAGTATATAGCTGCGGAATTAAGATTGTAGTCTACACCCAGGGATGCATAGTCACACCGGATGCAACTGAGCGGCAATCAACCAAATGTCTGTATATTATACCATCCACACTAACCGCCATTAAAACAGAGGGACTAGCTAGATCCTATGTCTTCCTATTTACATGGGAATTTACACACAGGTTAGCCACTGAGGCACAAGTGTCAATTACCCATCACCAGTAGTTCGTGACCCGTAGTCACCGAGGTTGAGACTTTCTGAAGACCAGGACTGTAGAGCAGTGGCTCACAAATTTATTTTAGCTCACTATCATATCGGCGTACAAATTCACAGGTACCGCATCCACTGAACGTTCATGAAAATTACAAACGACTGAGTTCCAGTGGCATAATTCCTTAAGCTGGCTTGTCAAGCTATCAGAATTGATTAGTTCATACGTTGTTCTTTCAAATGTTCTACCTAATGCGAGCAGAAGTGAAACAGTTGGGTTTTCACATGAATATGGTTAACGCAACTACAAGAATTCCCAACCATATAAAAGTGTCTTAGTGCAACACCTGACTTGGCGGTGGAAACAATGAAACGAATTGCTGCTAACAGCAATAAATCAAAGAAGAATGGCACAAATTACTTTAATGGTTTTTGTTAGCGAGGCAACTTCCTGTTCCGCTAGCTCCTTATTCTTTTTTTCGTCCTCACTAGCCATCTGAAGCTCTTTGTTCTGCTTCAAGTAGTCTCTACAGTTAGTTCTTAGTGAAATATGGGATTTAAAGGTTGTTTGCATACTTCAGCTGTGTTACTTCTTCTTCATTTTCCAACAGTTTGTTTTGCAGAACTCTTAGTTCTTCATTGGCTGCTCTGAGTTTTGTCTGAATTACTCCAAAAATGGTCCACATAAACTCACCTCAGTTTCCTCTTTTTCCAGGGCAGACTTAGCTGCCGATGATTTATCAGTTTGCAGTTGTTGTTCCATTCTTTCTTCTTTCATCCGGAGTTGTTCACACTCAGCCTAAAACAACTGAGTCAAGAGATTCCCGCATACTTTTGTCTCATGAAATCTAATCAAAATGTCATCGAGTTTTGTCTTCAAATCTGATTTCACGTTCAATACATCACGTAATTCTTGTTTCAACTGGGTGATTTCCTCTACTTGCCGCATCTTTTGTGGTATTTAGGCAGAAATATTTCAAAATTTTGAAACTAGAAATTACCAAATTTGCCTCATCTAACTTTTTGATTTCGGTGAGAAGTATAATTTCGTCTACAAATGTACGTGAACATGATTGGATAATACTTTTTATATCACAAATTGTATCTCCAATCGTTGTGGTAACCCCGTCTCTACATTGCTTGTTTTTGGAAAACAAATTTTATACCTCTCTTTGAGCAACTTTAGGATACCCATAACTCCAGATTTCAGAACTTGTATGTTTTCTTTCAAAGCGTTTTTCTCTACGGTCGCTTGTTGCCTGAATTCGCCAAATTCTGACTGGGCAAGCTTCACTTCGTCTTGTACATTCGACAGTTCAGTGGTTAGCATATTAATTTGTAAAGTCTTTTCTTCATCGAGCACTTTAGATTTTGCAATTTTACTTTCCTTCTCTTCCAGAAGTCTTTCAGAAACTTCCAGTTTCTTTTCGACGTCCTTTAACCGACTAGTTTCCTCCTTCAGCTGTTCTTCAAGAAATGTCTTTGCTTCCTTTATGAGTAAGTAAATTTGTCGCTAAAAACGTACCTCTAGCACGCGGACATATTGCTCTTTATTTTCAATGTGTTCCTTGTCCCTCGTCGAGTCAATGAGCAATTTTGAGTTTATGATTTTTTGTTCCACTAAACCATCAGTATAAATTATCTATTCTTACCATTTTCTGTGCTCAAAAAGTCTATCTCCCTCATTAAACATATTAATTCTTTGTCTGTTTGCTGTCTTTCTCCGTTATGTTGCTCAACCTGTTGAGATGGTCTTCAAAAGCCCGAGACTTACCAGAGTGTCCATGGTCACTTTGTATTTTTCAATTTCCGTCTCAAGGTTTTTTATATATTCAACATTTTCTTTTGCTTTACCCATATATTTTTTTGTAAACATCCTCACCTGTTTCTTCCAAAGCCTTCCTTTGTCTTGTACACTGAGTTGAATGCTGGGTCAACTCATTGTGCAAACTATTATACAGTTTTTTCAGCTCAAGATACTTCTGCTTCATATCCGTGTTATTTTCACAAACTAGAACAATTACTCGAAAATCGGACAGAATACCTTCATTCTTTATTTCATTAAAACTATTAAACTTGTCGCGCAGGCATGCCGTCATGTGTTCGATCGATATCATCCTGAAAATATATATTGACAAAACAAACACATATTCACTTCTCCCCTATTTTGTTCCTCATTTCCAGTTCATTTTTGTATTTCAGACTGACATTTTCTAGGTTCATCTGAAAAATTCATGCCAATTTTCTGGGCATTACTTGTAATTCCAAGTTCGATTTTCGCAAATTCTCTATTGTGGACTCAGCTCTTGATATTTCCGTATTCTTGGCATTCGATATACAAAAATTGTAGTTCTCCTACCTTCTCGTTCAGCCTTAATTCAGCAGCGACTTTCCATCTTCTAGTTCTGTCTAGCTCGCTTTTTAGTGTTTTGTAAAGCATACGGAGTCTGTAAAAAGTGGGATAAAGCAAACAGTGAGATACTTTGTATCTTCATGTATGTCCTCGAGCTCCAACTTCTCATCGCTCCGTGTGTCCATTATGGGAGAACGGTGGTCTGGCGTGCCCGGTTCGGTTGAGCTTACATCGCTTTGAATGCAGGGAGACTTGACGTCTTCATCGACTTTTCCAGCAGTATCAGGGGATCTCATTTTATCCTCCTCTTTAAAATTCCTCAAAAATTTCACCATCGGAGATGCGGATGCTGTTGGCCTTTTCGAAGGCGGAGGTGATTTTTGAATTTCTAATAAATTTGTGTCCAGTTGAGCCACTTGGACATCTCTTTGAGGAAATTGTGCTACTCTCATTCGAATATTTGTGCTGAGCTTAGGGACACTTGTTGGAGTACTGTTCCCTTGAAATCGCTTGATACTCTCCATATATTGGTTGCTTTTGGGCCATTCGCAGTCATGGAGACTATCAGTCGGAGAATTTGAAGACTCAAGCATGAAGGAATTCGACGGAAAATAATCATCCTCCTCATCTATGTCACATGAATTGCTTCCGCTTGTATCATCAAGTCCACCCCATAGTAGAGTTTCTTTTATGGGTGTCCTTTGGAATGTCCTCTCTGTTACAGTGGATGCTTTAAGCGTTTCAGTATCCTTCCGAAACTGCTTGAAAAGATTCGTCTTCATCAGCATTCCGTTGTGCGCGGAATCTCCGAACAGACTTGAATAAATTTCCGCATATGTTTTCGCGCAGGGTATTCAGTTCAATAAGCAACAATCTAAATTTATTCTCGGACCAGATAAGCCATGAAGTAAGACTTTACCTCGCTGCTCGTCTGCGTAGGTTCAGGAGTGATCCCGCCTTTGGATGTAGGCCGTTCATCTGTAAGAACCCTTTACTAGTATTACATCGGGGAAAGCAACTGCCACCAGAACTTCCACGAAATCGTGACTGTGATTAACTGCATATTCTGATGGGATCCCAGTGATGGTTCGGTCAACTCACCTGAAGCCATAGGGACATATTTCAGAAAAACGTGGCGAAAAATGTAGTTAGCTAGTCACTACATATGCCTGTGGCCACAGGCAACCGGCGAAACCGTAATCAGCATGGGTGCAGAGGGTGGTGACATTATTCGGCGTTTGGTGCATTCTGAAGAAGTCCAACTCTAGTGACATTAGCGCGCTAAGCTACGTCGAGGAAATGTATTTTTCCATAATTTTGACTAAAGAAGGTTGAAAGCCGGCTGGAAGTTTTTTCCGCAAGTCAAGAAGAACTTTCATTACCGTACCCAAGCCTCGGTGGTTTTATGAAAACAAACATTCCCTGGCCTTTGCCGACCCATCCGAACACCGGAGAAGCTGCCAGATACTTGGCACACTATGACCAGCCATACATCCTAATTCTAGTAGGGCCTAAACGCACCATCGAACTTTCACATGTGCTATTGATCTCCATTGCACAGATTTTCACCATACGCCGCGCGGTGCCAAGGGTCTCCGCTTAATTTTAATACGATGTTAATGGTACTCCAGAATGAGGCGTAAATCGGAAAAAAATAACGGGAACAGTAATTTCGGGTTATTTCTCGTGACGGCTTTTATCAAGCCATATGGGCACAATGAGCTGCGCCAGAACACTGGATAATCAGCTAAAAATATGCGTCAACCGGCATGTGCGCATATAGACCTCGGTTAAATTTGCGCTAACTCATCCCAGAAGCTGGGAGTCATTTGCACTGAATTCCCAACAATTTTGTAGGCATTTCGAAAAAATGGGTGCGAGGTTTACATATCTCCTCCCAGCAGCCGATGACAGTCAGGTAAATATATATAAGTGAACATTCTTGGTGCTAACCCTCGTGACCCACTGACTCGCAACTTTCTATAGGGTGCATTCTTCGAACTGCCATTTACTTCCGATCGTTCTTGCGGCCTCGTCACTGTCATTTGTTTTCACGTCATTTGGTCAGACCTACGTTCTCGCGGCTTGGCTCCTGCGATCATCATCTTTCGACGTTTGGGCCTACTCTCCAACCGGTCGCCTCCACTGCGATGCACCTGGCCCTCAGTTGCATACAGGCGTGGTCTATGCACCTACATTGGTGGACCTGTATATTCAGAAAATGGGCCTGTATGTCTTCAAAAGGGTTTTTCCGTGTTAATCTGTTCTCGTTGGTTTTTCAACATTTACTACCCAATAGACATTTTTAGGCGTAAAATTTCCTCCACATCCCGCACACCACAGGCATTTGGGTGGGCGAAAGTGTACCAATTCATATTGGTTTCCACAAATATGCACGGGCTCTGCGACTACGGGATTTTCATATTTCAATTCGTAATGCAAGTTCTGCCCATGTGCGCGCAAAATTATTAGAGGCGATTTTGCGTCTCTCCGGCAATTTCATTTGAGACACATTATTTAGAATATACGTCGAGCTGAAAATGTTAGAGAATGCTACCAATCTCCTTATCTATGTGGAGAGGATCAGGCACAATGTCCCATGTTTCTTGATATGAACGAATTCGTCTGCCACTATTTGATAACAGGTAATAGGTACCCCAGAAGGGCCCCCTTACGCGTAATAAAGTCAGCTTGGCACTCTAAGAATGTCGCAATGAGTAGTACTTGAAATGTACTGAATGTTTTTGATATCGACCAGATTTTGTAAGGCGTGCGCTGCATTGGTTGAAGGGGAGGTTTTATGTGACTATGTAAGTGGGGGTATACGCACGTCATCTGAAGTTGCTTGTATACCCGCGTAAACAGCTTTCAGTCGACTGCTGATGGCTGTTTAGCCGTCGTCAGATCAGTGAAGAATTATTTCAGGATTGTGATCGTTTTCACCAGTTGTTGAAGAGCCGACAATCATTTCGCATGGAAATCGTATTATGGTGCAGAAAACGAGTTTGTAAGTTTTCCGAACAGTATTGCGTATACGAAGAGGAATAAACAGGAGTGGTTCTGAACAGTACATGCTATGAATGGCGAATGGCGACGCTTTAGGGGCAATTGAAACGTTCTATCACGCCGTTGGCATGATCGATGAGTAGGATTGGAATTTCCTCCCAAGCTTCCAGGGTCGGATTTCTTGTTGTTTTTCAGCTGCCACCGTTTACCCAAAAAGCATAGGCAAAAATGGGCGTGGCAATTCCCCTTAAGCTTTAAGCCCGAGACTAGCCTGCTAGCACCAGGACGCACACGAGAAGCGCCTAAAATTCTTTGAACTGGACAAAAGATATAGCGTAAACAACCGTCTAGGGAAAGGTATTCTGCGCCTGAAAGTCTTCTCATCATGTTCCCGCCACGCTAGTTGGTTCAGTGTGAGAAAAACCAACTTTCGTTCAGGCAGGGGACAAGTAAATATTAGATCGCCACAAACGCGAAGATACCCAAGGTGAAGGAGGTCGAGGACCGCAGAACATATTTCATACTGAACGACTTCATGGGGGCGACCATTTTTGTAGCAGCTCTTTGGGCACGATCAATTATTATTACGTCATTTTTACGTTCCGTGTAGACAACCTGGTTGACATATTCAAGGGGAAGACTGATGAATGAGTACATGGAGTTCACTGAGAATAATACGGGAGAAAGTGCACCGGATCATCCGTAGAACGACGAATGCCTTTTGAGGCGTTTCCCCATGGTGCTTTGGGAAGGACTGAATTGAAGAGGACCAATTACTTTAATCTTTCTGGTGACTTGTAATTTTCTCTGGTCCCTTCTCATAATGCATTTCAGAGGCATTTGCGAAGCCACCACCAAATGACACATGGACGAATTTCCCATCACTCGGATGAAGGTGCCAGGAAAGAGATCAGTTCATTACCGCGTTTACATCCATTTGAAAGGTACTGGCTTTGAAAAATGGGGCTTTATTTCGTCCTCAAAACGTGTGCACGGTCATAGAAGCAAACCTGGAAGGTCATTGGCGTAGATCAGAAACAGCAGTGGCGCCAAAACGTAGCCTTGAGGAACTGCAATGGAGGTCGGTGCTGGAGAAGAGTAGGTCTAGTGCTCTATTTTATGCAGACGCCTGATTTTTACGTGAATTTTCTCCTGGAGTCCCATAAAACTCGACTGTGTAGAGCAGTGTGAGGTGTAAGACTCGATCGAATGCTTTCAAGAAGTCCTCAAATACGGCATTAATTATGAGGACATCATGTTTAGCTTGGGTGAAATTGTCCATAAACATTTAACACATTAACGTTCACGAATGCTGTGCTGAATTATATGCTATGGTTTGGAAGCTTTCCGTACCATGTAGCCGCATTGGTGGAAAGGTGATGACGTGAATATTAGCCCTCTACCGTTGTTAATCGTAATGAGTTCTGCGGATGCAGGAGTAGCATGAGTGCCTTATAGTGCTTCGAACTGGGTTCAAGAAGGAGCGTGGACAACCGGTGGGAGAAGGCCGTATCACGCAGCTAATACCCGAAACGATGGAAATTTTGCCTAATGAATATGCTCGCTCTGAGCTTGATAATCTCCTTACTAAACCCCCGCCCTCTGGCTGCTGTGGCAACGGTGAAAAACCTGTCGGGCAAGTTCTGTTCAAGCAGAGCATGAGTAAGAACTAGGTCCGATCGGAGGTAACGATACTCCAAAGGATAGGGGTCCAGAATCGCGAGACGCGTTTTGTAGTCCACGGACCTAAGGCCAGCAACCATTTCTGTAGTGGCTCACTAGACACACTCAATGAGGGTGACATTTTTCGGGCGTCCTGAGTAGGTAAATTGGTTGGCTTACTCAAGGAGCAGTCCGACCTAGGCCACATAAGGCATTATTATTTGTAAGTCCATGCAAATAATACAGGAGAAGAGGCGCCGAATCACCCACAAATTAACGAACGACTTTTGGGCCCATGTCCTCTGGTGCGGTTAGAAGGACACGTTTCGCGAGACTTAGATGACCAAATTCCTTTTGCTTCTATCCTAATGATGTTTTCTGGCCCTTTTCCACAATGCATGACAAAGCCATTCGCCGAGTCTCCTCGAAATCACATACGGACGCACTTTTCGACATTCAGAGGAAGATGCCAGCTCAATGACCAGTTCTTTGCAGCGTCTACATCCATTTGGAGGGCACTGGTACTGAAGATCCAGGACTTCTAGTCGTCCGCAAAAACCACACACGGAATTGCGACATATATATCGATGTATATCAGAAACAACAGTGGTACAAAACACAGCCTTGGGGAACTCCAATGGAGATCGGCCCTGGAGAAAAGAAGGTCAAGTCTCTTTCCGTTCAGAATGATCTGTCCGACGGGAACGCCTTCATCCAGTGTAAAATTCTCCCTTGAATCTTGTAAGACTTGAGTGTGTGGAGCAGCGGGACGTGTGGGACCCAATCAAATGTTTTTGAGAAGTCTGAAAATATGGCATCCAATATGAGTCCCTCGTCCTTGACTTGGGTTAAGCTGTTCATAAACACGAGCATGTTTGTCACGCAAGAGCGGCTTGGGGGAACTCCGTGTTGGGCTGGGGATATCAAGATTGTTGGAAGTAAGGTTATCTAGGATAGCTCGCTTCAGAATGCGTTCCATCACCTTGCACGGCACGCTAGTGAGGCTTATAGGCCTATGGCTGCCAGACGATAGTCGGTCACCAGTTTTGTAGATTGGTGTGACAATCGCTTCCTTCCAAGCAGAGAGAAGGCGGACTTCGTCAGGCGACTGACGAAACACCAGGTATAGATGATTTGCCAGTGTAGATGACGTTTCCTTCAAGATATTTAGATGGACCTAATTGGGCCCTAACGAGCAGAATGGATAGATCTTGTGCAAGAGTGGACGAATGTCCTCCACCGTCAAGGCCAAGTCGGTTAGAGGCTGCCCGTATTTAGTCCTTGACAAGAGTGGATGTGACGATGGCGCTGGGGCTGGGGCCGAATATAGACTTGCATAGTGTTTTCTGTAAACCTCGGATACAACTGTTGGGTCACTCACGGGTTCTCCATTCCCGTATCTCAAGGAGAACTTGGAAAGCTTGTTTCTGTGGATATGTCTCATGTATTTGAACAGTCTGTTTTTGTTTTTTCGAGCGAGGTCGAGAATGGTGGCTTGTTTTCTTATGTTCCATCTGTGAACCGCTAACTTACAGTGGTTCCGCAGTCTACAAAATTCCAGCCCATTTTCTGTGTTTCTTGTAAACAACTTTTTTCGAAAAAATATTGGGAAATCCTTCCCAGCAGACGCTGAATCCTTTCAGGCAACCTGGGTCTCATCCGACTGCGTGCTGGTTTTTCTGGGACGAACATCGCGTCAGCCTCGTAAACTTTTTGGACAGTGTTCCTATACAAGTCTTCCACTGAAGCTGGTCCCAGTTTAACTTGTTCAAGAAAGATGCGCATTCCTAAGTATGCACGGCAGAGGTTTCCGGGTTTCTGGCCCAATAGAAGATGAAGTCAAAGGTCAGGACAAAGTGATCGCTACGTACCAGTGGACCGGTAATTATAACTTTATCAACGAAGTGTCTTCCGTTAGTAATAACCAAATCCATGAGGGATGGTAGAAGGCCTGCGCGGTATCTGGTGTGTGCAACGATATGTTGAGTTCACGCGCTCTGTTGATCGATTTAATTAGCGCCACTGCAAAGAGTTCGCTTGATTTGACGCGCTGGAGCTACATCTAGGAGGCCTTTGGAGAGTTGAAGTCACCTACCAGCCGGAGATGAGTGAAGTTATAGCTAGAAGAGAGTTGCTCAAGGGTCAATATGAGGAACCGCTTATACTCAGGGGGACTCGAGGGGCTAGGGTGGACTAAATGGAGAAGGAGAATCGGACCCGCGCAGCGAGATTTGGACCCACAGTGCACTGCAAAAAGGTACAGAAGTGGTAACAGAGAAGACCATCTGGATGGACAGGACCTTATGTAGGCACAGAGCAACCCCGCATTACAATCAGATGATATAAAGGCCAAAACGAGAGGTTTATGTTCGATATAAATTGTAGAGTTTCCACTATCAGGGATGTGCAGGAGAGGCTTGAAAGCTAATCAGCTCAAATTGAGCATCCTCCCAAGTTTTCGAAGATTGTCGTTTACGAGACAAGGGCCGGAGTGTTTGTGATTTCGACCATTTATTGAAGAATCGCACCATCAAAGATTTCTGATGCGTCCGGTTTCAAGCCAAGCTGACATGCAGGACCTGTCCTCAAATTGTTCGGGTTGGAGATTCAAGGAAGGCGATTCGATGGAATTGGAAGCGGTAGTAGAATAGTCAACGAGTCATCCCATTGTAAGGTTTTCCTTTTCGCAGACGGTATACAAATCACGTACATATTCTCCTCCTCTGCACAAGCCCTTGCCTTTCACCAGATTAAGCGAGACTTAGATTCACTGACTCGCTGGTCAAAGGACTGTGGTCAAGTCTTCCCATCAACGAAACCCTACATAGTTTTCTGTTGCTGCCCTCTCTTGACTGATGCTTTCACAGTTAATGGAGATCCTATCGCTCGTTCTACGGAAATTCATTATCTCGACCTAATGCTCCTGCATCCTTAGGTTTTCCCAGCAGGTGCAGTTTCAGGTTTCCAGAGCTCGCCGGCTCAGTTTTTCGGTACAGCGCTTCTGTCACCTTCCAGACACACTTGTTGCCATTTTCAAGCCATGCGTTTTTTTTGAGACTAAACTTGCCGTGTTCTCCCAATTCGGACTATCCCATCTCCACCTCCACTTTTGCTTGTTATGACTCCGGCCATTTACCCAACCGCCCAAGGTCACTCATGGCCAGCAATGGTTTTGCAGTTTTAGTTCATGGCAGCCAACGGAGTCACTGAATTACTCGGACCTCATGCCTATTGTTCACTACAGGTTGCGAGTGAAACATATTATTATTGTTATTGTTTAATCAAGTACCTCCCACTGTTTGTGACATTGTCCCCTTTTCGCGCAGTCAACACTTCCCGCAAATCCCTCAGTAGTGCCCCATTCTGACTGTAAACGCATGATCATGCCAGACGGCATGCCACCCACAAATTGGGAATAAACATTATTATTATTATAAAACCACTCGTGATATTCTGTTTTGCATTCTCCTCCTTTACACCCAAAGTTGAGACTCGCAACCGAAAGGGCCCAATGCGCATTCACGCGAAAGCTGTTCCCGCGGTCCAACCTTCTCTCCTACCGCTATCGCTGTCAATTCCTGTGCCTCGAACAACTGTGGCCCAGACGGTTCAAGATAAATCTAGCTCTCTCACACGGTCTGCCGCACAAAGACGCCATTATAGCAGAGGTTTGACCAAACGTAAACTCACGTCCTCGCTACGGAATTTCTAACGGCTGCAAACTCATAGTGTGTCCTCCAGTTCATACACACCTACGCCACTAATACTTTCTGGTTTGTAACCATCGAATCTGGATCAGCTTTCCTGATCAGCTGCAAAGCATCAGGCAGCAGCATACCTTTTCTCAGACTGCAGACAAATTCCTCACCTGTGAATCTGCTGCAACCTTATCCCAATACCCAACTATCCGACCCGCTCTGCGAATCGGATTCAGTGCGCATTTGAGCTTAGCGGAGATACAGTTATTGGGCAAGTAAAATATCCTGTTATCATTTCTTCCAAACTCCTCGACTGGCTGTAAGCTAATGTAGGAGTCAAGCGCCTACTTCATTCAAACATGCTGTGTTACTGGCCTGTTACTGACCATTAATTTTTACAGCCAATTGATACCCGGTCCTAGTCAAGTCACCATTCCGGATTAATCTATCAGCTCTGTCTTGTGACTGGTGCCCTCAGTCTAACCCTAACTGACGAAAACCAAACCAAAGTTAGCTTTTTAATTCATTACCAAGGTGCATTCTACGTCTATATATATCCATCTGGTGATTTGCCCCACAGCTCAATAAACACTCACATGCATAACATAGCAGTACGCTTCCGCTTAACATGGTAGCTCACACCAACGCTCGGTTGCCGTTTAGCCAAGGTGCACTCGCCCTGAATATCGCCATTCCGTCCCCACTTTCTCATTGGCACCTGTCATTTCACTGCTTCCCCGGCGACCTGCCTCCGCTAGCGTCTGTTTTCTGTTTGCTTGTTCGAACTGATTAAGCTGTCATTACTGGTCTTGCTCTTCCTCTACCAGAAAATCTTGGTAGCTGGAGTATTTAATAATGCATAAAATGCATTTATGACCGCGTGGGTGGTTTTCCACCTTGTAGATCTGGTAGCATGCTCGAGGAATGAAAAACTCGTGTGGCGGACAGGCACGCACTGCAGGGAGGGTTGCCCTGTCACTTTGCACCATGGTGCGTTCGTATACACGCCAGTCCTATAGTAGCAAGGGTGCGTCGTCCATCGCCCGTGGTTCTGAGCCTGGCTTTCAAACCAAAGAAATTAAAAATGCTGTGCTCTTATTGTTGCTGCTGGTGTTGTACTCAACCAAGCTGAACTGTTTATCTGGCCACGTCATAAGCTGCGGAGTAAAATAACTTGTCATTCGTCTGTCGGAAAAGTGTAACCGGGGTAGCCTGGAGACACTCTGCGGCGCCCATGACCTATGTCGACGAGCATAGCGGTATTTCCTCTTTTCAGAATAGAAACTACACCGCAACAAAAACCTATTGAGTAAACCAAATAAAAAGCACACCTAGCTGCCGCTCCCAGGAGTAGACACACAATATTCATATATAGCGAGATTGCAAACACTCCACTACAAGCATACAAGGCCGGCATCGAAAGTCTCCATCGCTGTCCCCCACATATAGATTAAAACTGAGGGTAGTGCCTCTAGGACTTATGACCATCGCCCTCAAATCAACTTTCCACCTAGACTGCCCTAGTATTGCCTATCTCACCAATAACATCAATTTAAGATGCGGCCAGGCTGCTCGAGTCTCTTGGTCAGGTTTTGTAAAAACATTTTAGACCTTAGCCCCACTGTAGCGTTTTGCTTGCTGTAGTATAGCATATAGCTACCCACTTTGGACATCTCATTTTTAATCGCATTCAAACCACCCATCCAACTCTTTCTAGCTTGATTAGGCCCAACTGAGTTGTAAGCTTGCTGGCATAATCCAACTGGGGCTTACTAGTAACTGATCTGAATTAAACAATGCCATCAGTCCCATCTTCCTCAAAGCGCTTGCTGGGCCCCGATTCACCATCATCCTTGCCCTCATCGTGTCCAAAGAAGAGCCTTGCAGGCGAAAGGCACAACGCTCAATCTAGCCACCCTTCAAGGACGGTCGACATATTGCCCCAGTTGAATTCAGCCGAATCAGTTGTACCAACCGACATTTCCCTTCCTGCCGCACTCGGTAGCTGTCTTCCATCCTCTTTAACAAAAGAATCTCA